AATCGCCTCTCATGCATGTGAGAGGTGGACAATGAATAAGAAAAACTGAAGAAGAGTTGATGCTTTTGAGTTGTGGTGTTGGGGAAGAATGCTAAGAATACCATGGTCTGCTAAAAGGACTAACAAATCTGCCCAGGAAGAAGTGCAGCTGGAATGCTTCTTGGAAGCGAGAATGGCCAGACTTCGTCTCACCTACTTTGGTCATGTTGTCAGAAGGAACCATCCCTTGGAGATGGATATCATGATTGGTAAAGTGGAGGGTCAACAAAGAAGGGGAAATCCCTCAACGAGATGGACTGACACTGTGCCTACAACGATAGACTCAAGTACAGCAAAGATCATGGAGCTGGCACAGGAAAAGGCAGTGTTTCATTCCTCTGTGCCTGGGGTCACTATGAGTTGGAGATGATTCGTTGGCACCTAACAACAACAACAGCCTTCAATGATCCAATTTTAGCCTTAACCCTATCAAGATCTGAATCAATATGCAAGTCAAATATGTGACAATCTTCACATAATTGAATTGGATCGTGGTTTCTGAAGTCCTATACAACTTGTGATATGCAGATAGCACAAATTCCTTGCTGAAAGTGAAGAGGACTTCTTGGAAAATTTACTAATGCAAATCAAACACTATAGCCTTCAGTGCAGATTACATAAAGAGAGTGAAAAAAAAAAAAAATACAACTGGACCAATAAGCAGCATCTTGCTAAACAGAGAAAATACTGAAGTTGTCACAGATTTCATTTTACTTAGATCAACACTAATGTACGCAATAGTCAAGAAATCAAACTACATATTACATTGGGCAAATATGCTATAAAAATAAATAAATAAAACTCTAACTCATTGCTATTGAGTCAATTCTAATTTATAGCAACCCCCATTGTTTCTCAAGGCTGTAAATCTTTACAGAAGCAGACTGCCCCATCATTTTTCTGAGAAGCAGCTGGTAGGTTTGAACAACTGAGCTTTCGGTTAGCAGTCAAATACCTTAACCACTACATCACCAGAGCTCCTTTTTCTATCACTTAATGGGGCTCTGGTGGCATTTGACTGCTAGCCAGAGGGCTGGTGGTTCAAATCCACCAGCCACTCCTTAGAAGGAAGGTTGGGCAATCTACTTCCGTAGTGATACTGCCTTGGAAATACAAGGAGGGGTCGCTACGAGTCAGAGCTGACTCGATGGCAGTGAGTTTGGTTTGGTTTGGTTTGAATGTCCCCAAAATAAGTTTCCTTTCCCAGGTCCAATAGTGCTCTTCATTTTCAACCTCTAATCCAAGCTCTCAACAATAGATTTGAAGGTACTTCCCATGTTGATTCAATTTTAGGTAGATCTCATCAGGTCTAAGCTACTGATGTCATTGGCTCCCAGAATGAATATCACCACTCAGCTTATCTCGTGAGCTTTGGACAACCTATGAATGCAGAGGAGCATGAAAAGGGGCAGGCCTGTGACTTCTCCATGACAGATCCTCTGCAGATCCTGTGTGTCTCCTGGGGTGTCAGCATCGTGATGGAGCAGCCTTTTGCATGTTGCATACGGCAGGCCTGGGATTCTTCAGATGAGCCACCTATGCCGCAGGCACCTCCAGCCTTGAACTCAGAAGACTCTGGGCCACAGCCACTCCCTCTCTATCCTAAACTGGGCCAGCTCTCTTGGGACAGCCAAGACTCAGATTGTAAACTGTTCACTGGCCCCTGTGGGCTTCTTTGGTGGAACTGCCCACAGCACAAACCCAGAGCCCAAAGCGCAGAGAGTGAAGATACCAGACCAGCGCAGGGAAGCCCAAGTCACCCCAAGAAGAGCTGGATGCCGCAAGAGATCACCACGAACCACCTCTGAGCCCTTCTTGGGTGGGCCACACAAATCCCTGGAACAACTGGAACCAGCTACCGACAGGGAATTTTTCCAAACATCGCCCTCGCACCCATCACACTTGGACAAGCTAACAAATGGCTTTCCAAGGCTGCTGCCAATGGATTCAAGTGTCAACATGCACAAGCCACAGGGACACAGCTTCCAGGCCAGGCAGCCCTGCCATCCCTACAGAAACCCTTCACTGGATCATCTACCTCCAACAAATGATGTAATCATGAAGTCACTTCCTGTGAGTCATACGGATGGCATACATTATGCCCTCTGTGACCTCTGCATATGGAGCCCTGGTGACACAGTCATTAAGAACTTGGTTGCTAACCAAAATGCCGGCTTCCCTAAAGATTACCTTGGAAACCCTTGGTGCAGTTCTACTGTGTCCTATAGAGTCGCTATGAATCAGAATTGACTAGAGCTCAGTGGATTTTGGTCCTTTGCATAATTGGCTTTTTGACCTAAATAAAGTTATTTGATAATGCCAGATTCCTTGTTTCTTGCCTGTTCTTGTTTCTTGCCATTTTGCCTGTTTGGGAAGGAAGAGTTGCACTGGGATAAGGCCTAAGGGTGTAGAGGGATGGGGGATGGAGTGTGTGGGACTGTGTGGTCGTCCAGGTACCAAATCCAACCTTGCCTCCCGTGGCTATGCGGGTGTGGTAGCATCTCCTTGGCAGAAAGTGTGGAGGTTAGTGAGTGATTTAGTGTGGGCACTATTCAGAGTTGCCTGCACCTACCATTTTTGAGTCATCCTCCAGAGTCAGTAGCACCCTGGCACAGGTTCTATGTCCTGATTGAGTTGGCGATGCATTTCTGCTCTCCGTCTCTTCTGCCCACCCAGCCCATCTCCTCATCCTGTCAGTATTTTTGCCTGCCTCCTTCCACTCCTCCAAATACCCTCTGTCCTAACACACTGCACCATAGTAGCCTCCCATTTCCTGAAGCCCCTTATCTCTCTCCCATAAGCACATTCCTTGAAGATCACTTCTGCTTCTCACCCTGCCCAACTCTTCTCCCTATGCCTGTCACCCCAAGGATCTGCATCACAAGGAGGAGATGAAGTCAGAAGGTACTGAAGATCTGTATATACAAGGAAGAGGCCACCACAGGGTTGTAGTATGTGGGCTTTATGCAATGGGGTTAGGGCTGGAAGTGCAAACTTTGCCACTTGCCAAGATGAATTACTCTTCCTAGTAAATGGAGCTCAAGATCCACCTCAAATGGGGCTTGAGGAGTGAGGCACTGGCTTCAAAACAATGCCCAGTGTGAGGCCAATTGTCAATAAATGCCAACTATATTTATTTGGGAAACTCTGGTAGCACAGTGCCTAAGGCATTTGACTGCTAACCAGAAGGCTGGTTGTTCAAATCCACCAGCCACTCCTCAGAAGGAAGGTTGGACAATCTACTTCCATAATGATACTGCCTCGGAAACCCAAGGAGGGGGTTACTATGAGTGGGATCTAACTCGATAGCAGTGCATGTTTTTTTGTTTGTTTGTTTTGTATATATTTATTTGTGGGAGCTCTGGTGGCATAGTGCCCAAGGTATTTGACTGCTAACCAGGAGGCTGGCGGTTCTAACCCACCAGCCACTCCTCGGAAGGAAGGTTGGGCAATCTCCTTCTGTAGTGATACTGCCTCGGCAACCCAAGGAGGGGTCGCTATGAGTCGGTTCCAACTCCACAGCACATAACAACAACGACAAGAGATGACTATGCCATAGAAAACAAAAAAGGACAAACCTATTTCTTCTAGTTTATTCCAACCCATAGCAACCCTATAGGACAGAGCTCTGGCGGCATAGTGCCTATGGTCATCTCTTAGTGGGAATTAAAAGCGAGAAGCCTAGTGGAGGTGGGAAAGAAAGCGCACAGGGGTTGGTGAGGGACCAAGTATTCTGTGGGTGTCAGTAACTGGTGGGTGAATTATCAGTACTTAAATTTGTGAGGTCAGGAAGAAAGCAGTGAACAGAAAAAAAGGAAATATTATCTCAAAGATCTCCTGCCATTTGCACTCCTTTTTAATTGGAAGCTTAAGCCCTGTAACCAGCAATCGGAACCACCCTGCTATTGCCCAGCCTTGCCAACTCCCTAATCTCTTTATCTTTTTAAGACTCCCAAGGCCTCAGGGCCCCTTGAGGCAAACACAGTGCTAGACCTTTCTTCTTTCTTTTCTAGAATCAATGCTCTGCACAGGGGGCACACAAAGCTTAGAGGACACTGTGCTTTTGAAAGGATGTAGGAAAAATTTGGGAATAGATTAAGGTGATGATGGAACAATATGATGTACATAATTGTTGACACTGAAAGGTACATGTTGGTAAAGGTAAAGAATGTTGAAATGACAAATATCTTGTCACATATATGTTTACCACAATAAGGAAACATTTAGAATGCAAAAGAGTATGTTTATAATGTTTAAGTAAAATCAATACCCATTACATGTTAAAAGGAAGAAAAGGAATACCAAAGAAGAATTGATGTTTTTGAATTATGGTGTTGGCAAAGAACACTGACTGGCCTGCCAGAAGAGTGAACCAATCTGTCTCAGAAGTACAGTCAGAATGCTCCTTAGAAATGAGGATGGCAAGATTTTATCTCAAATATTTTGATAAAAATTTCTGTTTCTTCATCTTTGCCATTGGTGGCTGGTGCATAAATTTGTTGTATGAACTAGTCTTCCTTGCATGCATATAGATATTATCTTATACCTGGCAGCAATATATTTCAGAATACATCTTGAAAAGTTTTTTTTTTTTTTTTTTTTGATGAATGCTTTGCCAATCTTCTTCAATTTGTCATTCACAGCATTAAAAAAAAAAAAAAAACCTCAGTGCTGTCGAGTCAGATCTGACTCATAGCGACCCCTCCTTGGGTTTCTGAGGTAGTATCCCTACAGAAGGAGATTGCCCCATCTTCCTTCCAAGGAGTGGGTGGTGGGTTTGAACCGCTAGCCTTCTGGTTACCAATCAAATGCCTTAGGCACTATGCTACCAGAGCTCCCAGAGCTCCCACAGTAGGCCATTTTAAAAAAAAAAAAAACTGTCATTGAATTGTTTCTGACTCATAGTGACCCCTGTTGAGTTTCTGAGGCTGTAAATCTTTACAGAAGTAGATCACCCTGTCTTCCTTCTACAGAGAAGCTGGTGGGTTTAAACCACTGACCGTTAAGTTAACAGTCAAGCGCCGTATCTACTACACCACCACATGACTGTCCAATTCAAAATGGCTAATATCAGTCCATTTCAGATCACTCAACCAAAAACCAAACTGCTGTTGAGTCAGATCCAACTCATAGTGAGCCATCCTTGGGTTTCTGAGGCAGTATCGCTACAGAAGTAGATTGTGAAATCTTCCTTCTAAGGAGTGGCTGGTGAATTTGAACCACCATCCTTCTGGTTAGCAATTAGATGCCTTAGGCACTACATCACCAGAGAATATCAATCTTTACACATTCCATTTCATTTTTTGACAACTTCCAACTTTCTAGATTCATACTTCATATATTTCACATTCCAATTATTAAAGGATGTTTGCAGCTGTTTCTTCTTGTTTTGAGTCAGACCACATCAGCAAATGCAGGTCCCAAAAGCTTCACTCCATGTTGTTAAGGCTGTCTCTACTTTGAGGATGGGAAGGAAGGTTGGGCAATCTACTTCCGTAGTGATACTGCCTCAGAAACCCAAGGAGGGGTCGCTATCAGTCCTATCCGACTTGTCAGCAGTGGGGCCTACTTCCAGGAAGTAGCTCTTCCCCAGTCCTGTTTGAGCACCTTCCAACCTGAGAGGCTCCTCTTCTGGAGCAATATCAGACAATGTTCTACTGCTATTCGTAAGGTTTTCAGTGGCCAATTTCTTGAAAGTAGATGATCACATCCTTCTTTCTAGTCTGCTTAGTATGGAAGTTTCAGTGAAACCTGTCTACCATGGTGACTCTGCTGGTGTTGGAAATACTAGCGGCCCAGCTTCCAGCATTACAATAACACACAAGCCACTACAGAACGACAAACTCAGATGAGTGGTGAAAGCAAAGAAGTTCGAAACAGAAGAATCAGTAGTTGGAATGTATGGTCTTGGTGATAGACTGCATGATAGAATTTTGCAAGACCAATGAACTATTCATTACAAACACTTTTTCAGCAACATGAATGATTACTATACATTTGGAAGAAATGACAAGATAAAAGAGCTGAACAGAAGATTTAAAGAGCAGCTCTAGAAGACAAAGGCAATTATTATACTGAAATGCACAAAGACCTGGAGTTAGAAAACCAAAAGTATAGTGATAGGGAACTTCCAGATATGCAAGCTGCGTTCAGAAGAGGACGTGGAATGAGGGATATCATTGCTGATATCAGATGGATCTTGGCTGAAAGCAAACTGGTTGTTAATGAGGCTTCCTCCATTCTTGATGTTACCTTCTTCTTCATATAGTCCAGCTTCTCACATTATCTGCTCAGCGTATAGTATGAATAAATATGGTGAACAGATACAGCTCTGATCCATACCTTTCCTGAATTTAAACCATGCAATATCCCTTTATTCTGTTTGAACAACTGCTTCTTGGTCTATTTATAGGTTCCTCATGAGCACAATTCACTGGTTTTGGAATTCCCATTCTTCACAATATTGTCAATAATTTGTTGTGATCCACACAGTCTAATGCCTTTGCATAGTCAATAGAACACATGCAAACGTCTTTCTGGTGTTCTTTGCTTTCAGCCAGGTTCTATCTGACATCAGCAATGTTATCCCTCATTCCACGTCGTCAGCATAAAGAAAACAAAAGTCCTAACTGGACCACTAAACAACATCATGATTAATGGGGGAAAGATTAAAGTTGTCAAGGATTTCATTTCACTTGGATCCACACAATGTCCATGGAAGAAGCAGTCAAGAAATCAAAAGACATATTGCATTGGGCAAATCAGCTGCAAAAGACCTCTTTAAGGAAAGATGTCACTTTGAAGACTA